GGAACATATTTATTTTTTCTTTTAACACCAAATTAAGTTATACAGGTTTAGGTCACAAACTTTTACTCTAAAAAAGGTTTAATTTCACTTGTGAATATTGAACCAACATTTTGGAATTTTCTTTCAAAGAAAAGAAAATGAGTAGACAAGTCATTGCTTTACTTTATATTACTCCATGAGCCATATATTTGTTATCTTACAAAAAGGATTTGAAATTTTGTATTAAAAATTCGAAGTTAACATTGTTGAATTCATTTTCACATGTACCTTTTTTTTCCTTGTACTTATCCTTAAAAAGCTACCAATTGCTCAAATTTAATAGATTGAAATTCTAAAAAATTATATGTTTAAACTAGTGATTTATTCTTTAGCAAAGACATTTACTTGTTCATCTAATATATACTAAAACCATTCAAAAATGAATATTTAATGCACTAACTATCAAACAATCAAAGCTTGTTATCTCCTTATAAAATTTAAAATACATTGATTTTGATCACTTGGTGGATATGAAACTACATCATATATCAATGAACTTTATAAATCTAAAACTGATTGTCATCAAACTATATAAATCAAAATAGTAGAAAGAAATAGAAGCAGCCACAACCTGCTTTAGTAAAATTTGAAATTGATTGCTAAAAGTACAGAAAAGAAAAAGAGAATATATGGTCAAAATACCCACCAAGTCCTTCTACTCATGTATTTTGTTCAATTGAGTCCCTATACTCAAAATCAAAACAATTTAGTCGTTTAATTTTAGAAATTGCTTCAATATAGTCTCTCATTCTAACGACATCAAATTTTGCCATTAAAAAGATGATGTCAATGTTAAATTGCCATCAAATTTAGCATTAACGAGACACATTTTAATAACATAGCACCCACATGATGATGTGGCATGCCACAAGGCACCAACATGATGACATGGTAGTGCCATATGGCACTAAATATGATGACATGGCAATGTTGACATAACATTAACATGTTGACATGTTAGTGCCACATGGTAGATCAAAAATCTTTCAAAAAAATTTTTTGTGCCATGTCATAGTGACTAAATTGAACAAAGATATATAATACATGGAGTAAATTGAACAAAATTATAATGTTAAGGGACAAAATTGAAAAAAATATTTAAAAAGTACAAAATTTAAAATAGATGATTAATAAGCCAAATATTTAAGTGTAAAAGATTTATAGTGTTAAATTATATATAATTATTTTCTTACTTGATTATTTGATTCTGGAATATGTACATTAATTTATCTTTTTCACAAAAATGAAGTTTTAATTCTCCTTTTATAAAAAAAATATTGACAAAAATTTCATACCTAAAGTTAAATTGGAATGAATAACTTGCATTGTGTTGAACTGAAATAATATAAAAATATTAAATTTTTTTATTCTATTTATAATAGTACAAAAATTTAAAATTTATTTGACTTAGTTTTTAACCTAAGCTGAACTCAAATTACAAAAATAGATTAATTTAGTTTTTTCTTTTTAAATGATGAAGAAGGTAGATATGAAGTTAGTGATGATTATTTTTCTTTCTTACTTTCTTAATT